ATCTACTGTGGTTTAAAGTTTAGGTTTTGTGTTTTTGCCATGGTATTTCAACACCTTATTTGGGACAGTACCATGTTCTAAAAAAAACAACACATGTATAGGCAGAGAAGTCAAATTTCCTCCTTTCTTAGAGCAATAGTATGAAACTGAACTTGTGGCAGTAGTTGAAGACTTTTACCCTGTTTTTGAGTTTACTATTTTTGAGATAGAAGTGAAATTAGAAACTAGAACCCTCCATATAAAAATATATGTATATAATTTATTAAACTCTAAGTTCTTAACAGCAGAAACATAAGGCTTAAAACAAAATAAAACCCATGAGGATTAAGTAAGATATATGCATGATTTAAAATCTAGATCGATCTTTCAAGTTAAATTTACCAGGGTCCTGCAATTTGTCAAACTCTGTTATCTCTATTTAGAAATTTGTTTTGTCCAGAAAGCCTTCTATTTTAAAATTTACTTTATCTTATAGTGTCACTGGAGAAGAATAACCTCAATTCTTCATGTTTTCCCAATAGCTTCAGAAGTGCTGGACATCAGTAAAAAATAAATATAAAAAAAAAAAGATACCAATTACCAGAGAACCAAAGAACTCTGATTCTGATGAATTCCTTTACCATTTTCAGTCACTTCCTAAATAGAATTTAACCGCACATTATCAAATAACATTTTATACTAAAAAACAAGTAATTTAAATAGACCCCCAAATGACAGTATTTGAGAGATTTAAATGAATTCCATCCATGCAATAAAGTTTACATATATGGTATTGGTACACTACTACCACTGTACTTTGTTCCATGGAGGAAAAAGAAGAGAATCTAAATATTTAGAACTATGAAAGATATTGGGGGGAAATGAAAACGTAATGCTTTTCATTCTCAAAATACTCTTGATTGGGATTCTATAGCCCACTGAACACAAAAGCAACTGTAAAATACATTTTGAGAAGAGATGATATCATACGTAAAGACAAGATAATTCTACAAAGTTTGACAGCATTAAAAAACTGGCTTAAAAATATTGTCATTGGGAGAAAAATATTGTCACTGCACATCCAAGAACAAAAGGTTTGTGATATTTGATTATTTAGGTGATTCTTTGTGCTTATACTATGCCCTTTATTCAGGAGTGCAAAGCACTAAAAAGTAAGCATTATTTACATGTTTAGAGTAAACTGAGGCACAGGAAGTTTTACCAGGGCAAGATAAAAGCCAGGTTGTTAGACATAAAATGATTCAGAATTCCACATTTCCAGTTTCTTAAAATATAATTTAAATACTATCTTTAATGCCTCCACCTTATCAAACTTAAGTAGTTTACAATTATAGTTTAAGTTGTATGCTCAAGTATTGTGTGATAGGTAAAGTCTATAGATTTCCATCATGTTTTAAAATAACTGGTATATTCTAGGAAAGTTTACTTTAAAAAAATTCTTTTTAAAATAAATGAGATTGTTTAAGGACAGTTCTGGAAATTTTTGCCTTGATTTTTCTGCTTCATCTGCCTATATTAATATAGGGACAATAATTTGTTCCTTAAATACATATTGGACTTCCTCTCAAGATCTTCTATCTCTTAGTGAACTGAAGTGGTGATTCATTAAAAACAAAATAAGTTTTTGTGCAAGTATAAAATGGTTAATGTTGAATTCAGTCACTAACTTTTGACACTAACTTGCTAAATTAAACTAAGGTAAAAAAGTTCAAGGAAAAATTGAAAACATCTTAAGGGATAAATAGACAAGTATTAGAAATGTGAGACAATAAAACAATATGCTTCCAAAGCCTATTCCTGAACTTAAATCTATGCCTCATTTAACTATTAACATGACACCTTGAAACAGAAGTCACTTTACATAAGCACAGTGAGTCAGCATATTATAGGAAGCAGTCACTGCCAATTTTAGCTGCCACAAACTGCTTAGTGTGTCTTAAAATGTTAGCTCTTAAATTTAAGGAAAAAACTTAGATTCCTTTGAGAATCTAATAGAAATCATGGATCCTTGCTTTAGAATACACAGTAAGTACTGTTAAATGTCAAAAACCTATTGTGCATCATAGCACTGTTGATTCAATGGAATTAGATATGAAGAAAATTCATATTGTTAATAAAGATTGCTCATTAACCTTAGGAACATATTTTAAAAGTATGAGAGAGCCCAGTGATTATATCATTCATTCATGTGCTCTTTTACTAGCTGTAATGTTGACTGGTTAATGGAAATGTGCCCCTAATCTAGCCTATAAATATTAAAAGCAAAAATGTTTGCGTTCTAACTAATGCTAGCAGTATACATGTAACAATTTTCAAGTACTGCAAAATACTGTGAAGGAAAGACTTTAATATATCACTATCAAATTCCTATATACCCAAATCAGCAATGAAATGTCTGAGTATAATTTGTTGCCTTGAGCAAAATATAAGAAAATAAAGACACGATAGCTCTAAATTCTTTATAACCTTTAAGGATGGGAAACCAGTATCTCTGAGAAGTTTGTTTGTTTTAATAGAATTGAACATTTAATTTTCCCCCCACAGTAATCAAAGCAAACATTTTATCATTATTATTCTTGGTATATCAAACATTCCAGGAATGTAAGAAAATCTGACTTGGAAATATTACATAGAAAAAGGCTGAATTAACAAACACATTACATTTTTAAATTACTTCTTATAAGTATACATTGAATCTACTTATCTGATAGCACTGCTGCTTTTCAGTGAGTCTTTTTTTTTCTTCCAGAGGGAATGGAGAATGGCAGTATTATCTTTTGAACAAATTAAGTAGACAGTAGCAAACAACAAAAGAATAACACGTAAATTTTTCAAGGGCAATAAATAGTAAATATCATTATGAGAAAATACGCCTCAAATATGCTTTGTGAACTTTCTCAGGATTTATTTTGTGTGTGTGTGTGTTTCTTATATACTGCACTATCACTACTATCTGGGGAAAAACAAACCCTGAAGTTGTAGTTTCCTCCTTCAACCAGAATGACAAGAGTAAATGTGGCCCTAGCTGGTTGGCTCAATGAATGGAGCATTGGCCTGTGCACTGAAGGGTCCCAATTTTGGTCCCGCATCAAGGGCACATACCCAGTTTGCAGGCTTGATCCCCAGTGTGGGGCTTGCAGGAGGCAGCCAATCAATAATTCTCTCTCATCAGTGATGTTTCTATCCTCCCTTGCTCTCTGAAATAAATAAAAGTACATTAAAGAAAAAGAAAAAAAAGAGTAAACCTGGACTAAGGTCAACTTGTTTGAGCCAGCAGAGAATTCTGCAGTACATTTGGTTACTTCACTAATCTACACATATTCTGGGTTATTATCAAGAGACTCACAAAACATTTTATATTGAAGTTTTATGCCCCAAACAGGTTTTCTGATGATTATCATGCGAGCTTAGGAAATTTGAAAGAATGACAAATGGTATAACATAAACAGACATGCAATACACAAGACATAAAAGATATAGCTTGACCCTGGATTTTTCCCTTAGAATAATTCCTTCCATAAATAAGACGTTGCTTTTTACATGTAGACTAATCCTCTTGGATCATGGAGAATGTTAAGGACATAGCTTAAGCAATCTAGATCACTTTTTTTTTTTGTCACCCAGATCACAAAAAACATTCTCCAAGTGGATGCTCAGGTTAGATAGATACTCTTAAACAAACTTACTGAGGCTTAGAATGTAAATCACAGAACTACTTGCAGCAGCAATAGTCATTTCAAAAATGACCAAAACAAACTTTTAAATACAAAGCATATAAAAGTGACTGTAAGGATAGTTTTCCAAACTATATCTAGAAATACAGAAATACATGTGTTGCCTCATGATAAAGTTCAATAAATATTCTTTCTGAATCCTACAAACACTACAAGATGTTATAGGTTTATTTGGTTCCCATAAGTTAAAAAAATGTGATTGCTTTTATATAAATTTCTCCAACAGATTTCTACTACTGCTTTTTACTAGACTCAGAGGTTATAACCTAACTTCCCTTCAGAAATGTGCTTTTTTGTTGATTTTAATAATTATACTTAATTTTCTAGCAAATAAACATGGTTTAAGTTTTAAGGTTCAAGGTAATTCTAGAAAAAGGTAGACACTGAACTACTTCCTTTTCTACACCCTCATATTTACAAAGTCCAGCATCCACTGTGGTTTCCTTCTTACTCACTTATTACATTGCCAGTAAATAGTAGCTGTGGTCCAAGTTACCTATATTAAAGATTTCAAAATTCCTCAAAATTTCACAACACTACAAAGTCATAATATCTGATTTTGGTAGAATATGAGTATTAGTATTATGTAATTTTTTGCTACTGGAAAAAAATACAAGTCTTTATTTTTTTCTATCTAATTAAATCCAAGCTCCATGATCAGTTCTTATGATAATATCTAAAATGTACATTCCTAAAGAAAGGTAAAGCTGTTCAAGGGCTGAACTAGTCCAATATACAATTAAGGATTATTTATTCCTGTTATTTTTTTTCTTTTTTTTTTCTTTTTAAGTCCCTATATTAAACCCCTGGTTTCTTGTGGATTAGATCATAATTTAATATTGTAAAAATTAATTTCAGAAACTATTGTGCTAGTATTTAGTTTTCAGGAAGGAATCAGACAAAATTAATTACCTTCATTCATTGTTAGAACAGAAGAAAAAATAGCTTACTAACTGATATGAGTTATGAATGTCACTATGACACAAAAGTTACTGTGATTTGCTTATTTGGCTACAAGTGTAGTATTTTTCATGAATGACAACACACAGCATTTCCTACTGTAACAGGAAACTCCAGCTCATAAATAGTGTACTGTGTGACTTGAAAAAGTCTAATTGTAGTTACGTAACAACCTTTCCCCTGAAAAACATGAACAAAATCCATTGGAAAATCAGGCACAGACGGTATTGATCGGGTTTTCTTCCTTTCCTCCTGTGGTTTTGTTTCTCAAGACATATAGATGGTTTCAATAGAATCCAACATTTGTTACAAAATAACACAGCTATTTTTTTCCTTTTCTTTTTCTTTATCTTTTTCTCGAGGTTCCTTTCGTTTACGTTCACTACTTCCAGATTGTCTTCCACTTGTTGGAGAGGCTTGTGCTGGTTGGCTTTGCTTTAGGAAAAACAAACAGAAGAAATTACCTCAACTTTCTTAACTGTGCTTAATCACAGCTATCTAGAAAGAAAAACCGAAAGAGTGAAAAAACTCATTAATGAAAAAAGAAGCTACTGGCATATAGCCTTGTTATGTTATATGGTATCTGAATAGTTTCCTCTACCATTTTGGATAGATATAAATTATTCCAAGTAAATAGAAATTTCAAACAATAAATAACATCAAGTAAGTTCATGTTGCCTGAAGTCTCAAATTCAAGAAATATTTATGTTGAAGTTTAGAGAATGTTAATGAAAGTGATACCATTTGGGCCATAACCGGTTTGGCTCAGTGGACAGAACATCGGCCTGGAGAGTGAAGGGTCCCAGGTTTGATTCTGGTCAAGGGTATGTACCTTGGTTGTGGGCACATCCCCAGAAGGAGGTGTGCAGGAGGCAGCTGATCGATGTTTCTCTCTCATCGATATTTCTGACTCTCTATTCCTCTCCCTTCCTCTCTGTAAAAAATTAATAAAATATATATTTTTTTTAAAAAGAAAGTGATACCATTTGGTAAACTACAATAGTTCTTTAAGACCCTATTAACTACCATAATAAACAGATTTTAAAAGGAAGAAAAAATATTTAAAACTGAGAGTATGAAATAAGTATATTCAGTGAAATAAGAGAAAAAGAAAAAAAATTTTAAATTCTCACCCAAGGATATTTTCCTACTGATTTTCTAGGGGAAGAGAGAGGGAAAGACAGAGAGAAACATCGATGTGAGAGGAACACATTGATTGGTTGCCTCCTGCATGAGCCCCAGGGCCTGGGCCAAAGGAAGAGCCTGCAACCAAGGCACATGCCCTTGACCAGAATCACACCTGGAACCCTTTGTTCTGCAGGCCAATGCTCTATCCACTGAGCCGAATGGACTAGGGTGAGAAAATTTTTAATGAAAAGCTAATCATAAATGGTAGGTTTTAACTTTTAAGCTTGGGGTAGTCAATATTTGAGCTATAAATATATTTGTTATTTTATTTTAATGGAGACCTCTATATTTAAATCTTCATCAGCTCTTACAGGACATCTTGCTTTCTTATACTTCTGGCATTGTACAGTTAAACATAAAAAGGAGGATTCCCCCCCCCCCCATTTAATACAATGAGATTTAACATATATAATAGAAACTGAGATTTAACACAGTCACATTTACAGTGCATAAAACATTCAGCTGGGAAGAGTAAAAAGTGGGAAAGTGCTAATCTTGGTTGGATACTTAGTACATGCCAGACACTGAGTTTAGTTGTTCTCAACCACAAACCTAAGAGTTAAGTATTATCTTCCATTTTACAGACAGGGAAAATGAGGCTAAGAGGCAGATGGCTTGGTTCAAGGTGTTGCAGGAAATGCAAATCCACATCTGACTCGAGTCTACATTCTTCCAGTAGTACCTCACACTGCCCTCTGACTGACAGGAAAGACTATTTAAATTGGCCTATATTCTGGGCAGCTATTAGTAACTTTAAAAAATAAATTTGTTCTATAGGAAGAAAATAAAGATAAAAATTATGAACAACAAATACGTAACTTTGAAGTGAATCTAAAAACCAAGGGATTTTTAAAAATCTGATGAACAATATTAACTGGTAAATATAATAAAATCAGAGGTATGGAAGGGGAGTGGACTGACGATTCTTGGGGGAAAAGGGGAGTGGGGGGTGCAGGAAGAGACTGAACATAAAATGTGCACCTATGGATGAGGACAATGGGGGATGAGGAAAGAGCAGAGGGTAAGGTGGGAACCTGGTGGAGGGGAGCAATGGAGGAAAAAAAAAAAGAAGAACATTTGTAATAATATGAACAATAAAGATTTATTTAAAAAAATAAATTTGAAAACTCTTGTCATCAGAACCTTATGAAAAATAACTTCAGAAAATGAGAAAAATATTAAGATAACCACAAAAATAGGATAATGTTATAAAATCTAATGGGTAAAGAAAAGAAAAACACAAGAAAAAGAAACCCAATGGGTGCTAAAATGCTTATATAATTAAAGAGTCAATATATAATTTAAAAATGTTTATCTCAGCACAAATCTTTTTATTGTTAAAGTGATCATTATGTTTAAGAATAAGAACACTGGTTTCACCTGAGCCTGGGCAGGAGCAGAAGTAGCAGAAGCAGCAGCAGCAGCGGCTGCTGCTTGTTCCTGTTCCTGGTAATACTGAGAAGCCCGTCGATCCTCCTCTTCTTGGAGTTTCTTCGCAAGTTCCAAATCACTGATTCCTTCAGGCGCTTGTTCCCAATTGATCTCTTGACTCTGCTGTTCTTGTTGTAGAGATAACGCCATAAGATAGTCCTAAGAAATGAAATTATAACCATCTTTAGCTATGAGACATTACCTAAGAACTAATGAGTGTAAATATAGAGGTTATATCTACAAAACTAAGAATGGCTTTTTAAAAACATACCAGAGAGGTTAAATAAAAAACAAAAGTTATTTAAGTGCTTCTGCTTGGGCCCTAGCTGGTTTGGCTCATTGGATACAGCGTCAGCCTGCGTGCGGACTGAAGGGGCCTAAGGTTCGATTCCAGTCACCGCACATGCCCAGGATGCAGACTCAATCCCCAGTAGGGGATGTGCAGGAGGCAGACAATCAATGATTCTCTCTCATCATTGATGTTTCTATCTCTCTCTTCCCTCTCCCTTCCTCCCTGAAATCAATTAAAAAAAAAAAAAGTGCTTCTGCTAGGGAATATTAATTTATTTCAGTGATGCTACTATTATTCTAAATGTTTTTGGAATTCATCTGAAATTATTTCTAGAAGTATAGAAGGCATTAGAGAAAACTTAAAAATGTTGCCCCTGCCTGGCCAGTGTGGCTCAGTGGTTGAGTGTCACCTATGAACAAGGAAGTCATGGTTCAATAATCAGTCAACTGAACAATGTTTCTCTCTCATTGTTTGTATACCTCCATCCCTCTTTCTCAAATAAATTTTTAAAAATCTTATCTGTCTCAGTTCTAAATGGGAATTCTACTCACTAATCTACTCTTCCTTAACTCTAAGGCTTAGAATACTCACTACACTTTATCCAGTGCACACTATCTTCAAGACTCCCTCTTTTCTATGTTTTCTAATTAGCCAAAATATATCTCAAAGATGTACTTGTCTCTTCATCTCTATCTCTTGCTTGGACTACTAGTCTCTACTTATACCTGTGTCCTTCCTCTGTATTCTCTACCTCTCAACCTTTTAAAAAGGTGAAGTAGTTCACTTCCAGGATATACCTGGCATATCTTCCCTACCACATTTTTAAAAAAAATATATATTTTATTGATTTTGTACAAAGAGGAAGGGAGAGAGACAGAAAGCTAGAAACATCGATGAGAGAGAGTCATCGATCAGCTGCCTCTTGCACACCCCCTACTGGGGATATGCCCGCAACCAAGGTACATGCCCTTGACCAGAATCGAACCCGGGTCCCTTTAGTCCCCAAGCCGACGCTCTATCCATTGAGCCAAACCGGTCTCGGCTTTTTTTTTTTTTTCCCTACCACAATTTAAATAAAATTCAAATTCGTTACCATAACCATTATAGTCCAAGATGATCTGGCCTTCTGAACCAAACTGTGTAATTAATATGCATATAGAATGATGACCTATCTATTTTTTAAAAATGTATTTTATTGATTTTTTACAGAGAAGAAAGGAGAGGGATAGAGAGCTAGAAACATCGACGAGAAAGAAACATCGATCAGCTGCCTTCTGCACACCCCCTACTGGAGATGTACCCGCAACCAAAGTATATGCCCTTGACCAGAATTGAACCTGGGACCTTTCAGTCCGCAGGCCAATGCTCTATCCATTGAGCCAAACCAGTCCTGGCTTGACCTATCTATTTTGTAAGTGTCAGAAAAATTACATATGTATATATGAATACTAAATCTTTAGTTCAAAAGTTTTGGATAACTAAATTCGTATTTGAAAGGAATAAACATTTTAAATAATATGAAGAAATAAATTTACCTGATCTATTTGATCTTGTTGTCCTTTGTACACAGTTTCAGGATCTGAAGGAGGCCGCAGATGAAAATCTGAGTCACAGAAATTTCCGTCACCATCAACATTGTGAAGGCTTTCCCAAACAATTTTTTCTTCAGTAAGAAACCCCTGGTCTGTTACCAGCAAATACAGTAGACCCTTAATAAGAAATAACAAAAGAAAAAAGACTGATAAACTGATCAAAACTAGTTAATATTTATTTTTAATATTTTTCTATTGATTTGAGAGAGATTGGAAGAGAGGGAAACATCGATATGGGAGAGAAACATCAATGGGCTGCCTCCTGCACCCTGGGGATTGTGCCCACAAGCCGGGCATGTGCCCTGACCCGGAATCAAACCAGTGACCTTTTGGTGCATGGGAGGGTTCTCAACCAACTGAGCAACACCAGCCAGGGCAAAAATAGTTAATATTTTAAAAATATTTTATAATATGTATGTGTAAAGCATATTAACTATTCCTACTAGTTAGATCTTCATAACATAATAAATAGACCAAGAAGATATCTTATTTACTCACTGAATTAAATATAGTTTATAATTGGTATACTACAGTATGAGAAATTATACTATAATTTAAAAAATATATATATTTTATTGATTTTTTACAGAGGAAGGGAGAAAGAGAGCTAGAGACATTGATGAGAGAGAAACATCTACCAGCTGCCTTTTGCACACCCCCTACCGGGGATGTGCCCACAACCAAAGCACATGCCCTTGACAGGAATCGAACCCGGGACCTTTCAGTCCGCAGACTGACGCTCTACCACTGAGCCAAACCGGTTTCAGCAGAAATTATACTATAATTTGAGGAGCTACTGGCATGTTCAACAAGTAAATGACTTACAAATAGCCTTGGGGGGTTATAATCTCATTTCACAAAATAGAAAAATACTATACAAGTCCCTAAAAATACAACAGGTACTAAGTAAGACACAGTCACAATAAAATAATATCACTTTGCCTATACTCATAAGCCAATATGACTAATCCAATCCATATCAAATTTTCCTTTCTCTGTACTAAAGTACTTTGTACCTATTTCTATTGTAGCACTGAATCACACTATGCCATAATTGTGCTTCCTGCCTTATTCCCCAAACTATATGTTTTAATCTCAATATCTCTGGCCCTAAGTGTACTGTACTCATTAAACTTTATTGAGTCAATCAATGAAGTCATATTTATAGTCACTACCAAAGAATTTAGCATTGATCTTTAATTTTTCATGTGTATTAGCTCTGATTCCAATCATGTGTGTCACTAGTATACACATAAGGATTGTGAGCCATTTTTCTTCATATTTGCAGATATGACTTTAATTTACCTGTTGAAAGTTGCCACTGGTTAATACGTGGTTAGTACTGCACAAACCGTACTTTTTGTATGTTCTCTCTTATCATCAGAATTAATCTTAGTGAGTAAGAATAAGAAATTCCTTTAAAGAGGTTGGTGGTGTGGGTAGAGAAATTATTAAATTAATTCTAAAGCTTTAAAAACTAAGTAATTATTTTTAAACATTTATTATGTGTCCTGCACTGTGGGCATAGCTCTTCCTAAAGTACAAACTCTTTCCTGTGTGCTTACAGTTACATTCTAGAGTTAGCTGTAGACAGTGATTAATTTATAGTCATTGAAATTACTATAACAACATGGAAAGTATTTATAAGGAAAAACATTTTGATATAAAGTTTAAAGACATTGTTTAAAGCAAAAATTAAGTCCAGATTTATACTTAAAAAAAAAAATCAGGTATGTTTCAAGTCACCAAACATTTAAATGCTTATAATATGCTCAGCACTATGCTAAGGGCTTGAGGATTCATATATAGAAAGTAATGATCCTACCTTAGTCAGGTATTAGGTGCTCCTTTTACATGATTTTATAGAAACATGCTCTTACCATGATCATAGCACTTTATACAATGAATTGTAGTTGACTGCTTAGTTACTCATCTCTTTGAATACATTTCAAGCTCCTTGAGAACCAGAGCCATGGTCATCATTATCTATCCTATTTTTAAGGTTCTACCTTGTCCTAGGATAATTTAAGAGAAAAAAATAAAAGTTCTTTCCAATTTTCTACTGAATAGATCTGACCTTTCTGTTTACACTTATCACAATACATTTCAACACCCCATTATATTACACAATATTTAGGCTTTATAATTTAGTTTATGTAGATCATATAATGATTGGCTGTGTGCTAGGATAAGAACCATAATCTTATAATTTTTTTCCAAATGACACTTTAGGGTGGATAATTTCTAGGAGGATTTCCCTTAAAGCTGTTATCATACAGCACATATGAACATTTATACACTTTTATCTAAAAGGGTATCCCATTCCTGGTATAACTGACCTGTCTTCTCAAGGACCATCAGCCTCAATTTCTTCCTCTTTTAGATCTTGACATTTATCGAAAAGGTCTGTAACTGGTCCACTGTCAACAATGCTGATTATTACTCAACAGAACCTTTATATAATTGCAGTGTAGAATAGCAAAGTATGTATTAGTATAGTACTGAACAGTTTAGGCCCATTTTTCCCAAGAGTTTACAGTTAAATTATAATCAAGAATACTTTTTGCATTTATACTCAATCACTTTTGCTGCATTATCTAGTCAAAGCTTTCTTTTCTAAGCTTTGAATCTTCCTTCTAATCTCACTCATCAGTCTCTAAAATACTAATTTCATAAAAAATAATAAAGTATGTATTAAATTCTTAAATTATTTATTAACATATAAAATGAATAAATTATATTAAAATGATAAAGAAATGACAAATAATTTTTATCATTTTATAAAATAGGCAATTGGATAACAAAAGAAAATGGTAATATCATAAATTAGTTGTATACAGAGTATGAATAACAGGGTGAGAATGTCATCGAAATTTATAAATTGATAAAATAAAACTTGGCAAATGTAATAAAAAAGTAAGTAATTCCAGCCTTTAAGATATGGAGAAAAGCACTGCCTGAATATTTTTAGATAACTAGTTTAGACTGAAATTACTAATACCTTTGAACTTTAGTTTTCTTTTCTCATAAAGTGATATAGAGACATTACGATCTGAAAATCTCTAAGATATTTTATAAACTGAAAGATGAATATTATTCCTACTTCACAAACATAAATCTCATCCACAAATACATCTACCCAGAGAGGCAAAGCTGTTGAGAATGTGGCCTTGAAGTCAGGTTAGGGCTGCTTACAAGCTGAATGATCTTGAGCAAGTTAACTTAGAGCCTGTAAGCCTGTTCTTTCAGGTGTAAAGTAATATGGGAGTAATAATATTCACATCTCATAGGAGAGTTGTGCAAATTAAATAAGATAATGCATATAAAGTGGTTAGCACAATGCAAGGCACTTGGTGTTTAATAAATAAAAGTATTATACTCATAAATATCACCTAAATTTATCTTAGTTTCTGTCTCTATCTCCTCCTGTCTCCTATTTGAGAGAAAAAGATGAATCTCTCCACCTGTACTGTGGAATTTACCACTTTCCTATTCTTTTCCCACATTTCTCTATCCACTGTCCCCATTAAAAAAAAAAATTGAAAGAAAGTGACAACTTTTTAAAAAGTATATATTTGTATTGATTTCTGAGAGGAATGGAGAGGGAGAGAGAGATAGAAACATCAATGATAAGAGAGAATCATTGATTGGCTGCCTCTTGCAAGTCCCACACTGGGGATAGAGCCCAAAACCTGGGCATGTGACCTGACCGGAAATAGAACCATGACTCCTAGTTCATAGGTTGATGTTCAACCACTGAGCCACGCTGCCTGGGCAAAAGTAACACTTTTTGGTGCATCAACTACCTTTTAAAAATAACGAAATTAAATAAGTATTTAAATGTAATCTTCTGTGGAAAACAAAATTCCCACTATAGTCTTAGTCGAAGAAGAAAGAGAATGGGCCAATTTATTTCTTTAACGTGGCTTCAGTGCTTCTCTAGAATTGTATTTTCTCCTAAACTACTCTTCACTTCTAAATGGAAAGTAAAAAAGTGAACAAACAAAAGCCAACTTCAAAAACCCTGGTTTTGAATATACTTCAGGGAGATGTCAGTAATTTGAAACCAACAGGTAGAGGAAACAATTATGACATGGATATAAAGTTGATACTTTATAAAAAAATGATCAAGAGGGAGACATGTCATTATATATACCAAAGACCTAGAAACTAGGTGATCTGGACAAGGGCCAAGGAATCTTACTTGAGAGCAAGCAGAAAGTACTGGAGAAGTGGAGGAGGATCAAAAAATAAAACAGGATAACTAGATTTTGGAGATAGAATAATTAGTCATGATCATATGAGAAGCAAAACAGAAGTTTCTAGGAAAGAAGTAATTTATTTAAAACTCACTTTTATACTGTCAAGTTTCCTGCCTGTATAAAAAGTCACCTCACCTTCTAGAACCAGAGGAACGGCCCTGAGAACATCTGTTTTCTCAGTAGGGTCTCCTCCTGCTGCTCTCAGATACTAATCTAGGTATGCTGATGAAAAGCACACATCTTCATAGTATAACATACTCAGTGTGGTTTTGCCCTGATGATCTGTCCAATTCAATTGTATAAGATTAGGTGGAAGTACATGGAGCAAGGTAACATAAGTGGTAGTAGAAATTGGAGATATGTGTATTTGCTGCCAATGGACAGACGAGGGGTGAACAGTTTAATCAAGGATTAAGGAGAGTGCTATTACAACTAATAACTAACAAGAGCTGGACTTGATTACTTTGCTATAATACAGGAAACAGCATAGGTATTTGCCCAGAGTTTAGGAATAGTAAGCCACAAAACTAGGAATGATCAGAGAACTTTTCAACAGGAAAGTCAATTAGTATCTGTGGTCAGAGAAAATGTCATGAGAATCTGTGCAATCAAAACCACAGATCATACTGTGTTAGACAGTTAGAAAATGTGAGGTTGATTGGTAGATATTATATGGGGGAGGGTGGGAAGGGGAGGGAGGATCAATTTGATCAACACATCCATTGTGACTCTGTAATGGCAAAAGGCCTAATAAAAAGTCTATGGAGCCCTAACCGGTTTGGCTCAGTGGATAGAGTGTCAGTCTGCGGACTCAAGGGTCCCAGGTTCAATTCCGGTCAAGGGCATGTACCTTGG